ATCTGCACAGGAATCTTTCCTGTTAATTTGTTGCTTGAAAGATCAATAATTTTCAAAGTCTTGAGATTTCCATTCTCATAATCACGCTCCATTCCTTTCCACATTACAAATGCTTTGTCAGCATAGCTTCCTCCGTACCAAGCATCAGCACCAATACGTGATTCTATAAAATCATGATCATGGGCAGAAATCCCCTGTTCAGCTAATGTAGTTAGATTCTGGATGCACCATGGTATGTTTCCAGATAGATTGTTGTTGGAGAGGTCTAGCAGCGTAATATTTGTCAACCAGCATAACTTCAAGGGGATGTCTCCACTAAAATTATTGGATCTCAGAAGAAGGAAAATTAGTGAACTCAGCCTTTCTCCAATCCAAGTTGGTATTTTTCCAAAGAAGCTATTATAATTCAAATCCAAAAATTGCAAGGCACTGCAATTTCCTAGGGACCGAGGTATTTCTCCAGAGAAATTGTTGTTTTGCAAACCCAACGATTGAAGGCCAGACAAAGATCCAATAGAGCTTGGAATTTTCCCAAATAAATTATTATTAGCCAAATTTAGAATAGCTAATATTGGCCATTGCGTTATGCAATCAGGAAACTCCCCAGATAGTTGATTGTGTGAAACATCAAGGAACTGAAGGTTGCCACCAGTTATAGTACAGAGAGAAGAAATTGATCCAAAGAACCTATTTTTTGATAGGTTTATGGATGTGACATCAACAGGGAATACTGGTAATAGACCCTCCAACTGATTTTTACTCAAATCTATCCCAAGGCCAAAAGAATCAGCAAATTTTGTAGTTGACAAATTTGGCAAGACTCCATAGAGACGATTGGAAGAAAGATTCACATGAGATGCTGTAGGAGATAGGTTCCAAAACCACTCTGGAATGCTATCTGAAATTCCACTTCCAGAGATATCAAGATAAGAAAATTTTCTATGGGACTTTAACCAGCTTGGAAACCTTGGGCCCAACTTGCACGACCCAAGTCTTATAGAATCCAACTGGAATGGAGGAATCCAGTCATTGCTAAAGTTGATGCTCAAAGAATTAGAAGACATGGCCAACCACCGTAACTTGGATAGTGTAGAAAAGTGTGATTCACTGATAGTCCCATTCAAAGAATTCGAAGAAAGATCTATGCCCTCAAGGTTTGATAGGAGTCCAATACTTTTGCTCACAGTACCACTTAGTTGATTGTTGGAAAGAGACAACCATCGCAGTGAGGAGATATTTTTTATCATATCAGACACGGGTCCCTTAATTTTATTATCATCCAAAATCAATTCTTCCAAGGAGAGTTGTAGACATCCAGATAAGTTACCAATAAGTTCAGGAAGCATTCCGTCAAGATTGTTAAGCCACAGATATAGGGAAACTAAGTTGCACAGGTTCCCAAAGGATTTTGGTATCCCTCCTTCAAATTGGTTACCGGCCAGCTCTAGTTTTTCCAGAAAAGTCATGTGACCAAGATTTTCTGGAATCAAACCTTCAAACTGATTATATCTAAGATCAAGATACCGCAGACCTCTAAGGTTCCCAAGCTGAGTAGGAAGAGATCCACTAAAATTACAATAAGAGAGATAAAGATGTTTTATTTTGTTGAGTGAACCGATAGAATTTGGAACGCGGCTTAAGTTGAAATTAATCCCACTGAGGTCTAAATAAATTAAATGTTGCAACTCAAATAGGGAAGGACTAAAGTTACCTCTTAAGAGAGAAAAAAACTCTCCTAGATTAAGCACAGTGACATACCCAGTTGTGTTGCTACATCGAACTCCTTCCCATTCACAACAATCCTTTTTCTTTTCTTCATTGTCCCATGAGGAAAGCCAGCCATATTCGTCAACCAAACCATGCTTAAATGCGAGAAGGGCTTGTCTTTCGCTCTCTATGCACCTAACTTCATCATCACCAATTGTTGAATTGAATCCAATGGAGGGTTGCATATGCACTAAAATTAGGAGTGCATAGACAAGTTGAAGAGACCCTCCACCCAGAATCTTCATTTTGAAAGTGATGAGAATAAAATCAAAGATGAAGGCGAACCAGAATGAAGAGTGTG